AATGACCACTGCATTTGTTCTATGATAATGTTGCAGGTGGCTGGTTTGAATTTTGTGTTTATTAAACTGTTGGTTCTCTAAGTTGCAGCATCTGATGTGTGGACTCAGATGTGAACGATCCAAATCGTTTATTACAAGTTCTCACATCACTTATATACCTTCACAAGTTTTCTTTCTCTAGCTTTCCCATCCACACCTACAACTTTCCCAAACACCTTTGCATGTCAACAGAGCACTCTACAAACACTCCTCAACTGTTCATGCAGGTGCCTATCCAATCAGACCTATGAACTGTTTCTTCTTCCTCTACAGGTATCCTTGGTTCTCATGCTGTTTGTCTTGCTCCATAGCTGCTGCTCTGTACAATCCTTCTTGTACTCCCACACTAAATCTCTACATCAGGCGTAAACTTTGTGTAAATAGGTGTTAAACAGTTGGGAAAACAGATGAATTATGGATTTCCAAATGTAAATTAAAACACAAAACACACACAAAATGTGTGGCAGGATACATTAGTTCTAGTTCAACCAGACAAACATACAATCCTCACAAACCATTTACAGGTAGCTTCAGTTATCCCAGGTAATTGAGGAGGCTTAGAACAGTGGAAAAGCGTACATACTGCAAAATGCATGTGAACCATTAGGAATAGGAGAAGCACTAGGAGCAGACATAAACCTGAAATAATTACCCGGATAGAACCTATGCTCCTTTAAGTCTCTATGGCAGTTAATCTAGAAAATGAGTGATTTGTCCATGTATAACAGTGCCAGTGATCCTGCCTCTCTACTCTGTGCTGGTGAGACCTCACTCGGAGTAGTGCATCCAGTTGAGGAGTTATCAGTATAAGAGGGACATAGAGCTGTTGTAGCATGTTCAGAGGAAGGCCACAAAAATGACCCAAAGGATGAAACGCTTCCCCTATGAGGACACTCTGAAGGAGCTGGGGCTGTTCAGCCTGGAGATGAGAAGGCTGTGAGAAGACCTGAGAGCAGTCTTTCAGTATCTGAAGGAGGCTGTAAGAAGAAAGGGGACAGACTCTTTAGAAGGATCTGTTGTGACAAAAGGGGAAATGGTTTCAACAAAAAGTGGGGAGATTTATATTGGTTATAAGGAAGAAGGTTTTTAAAATAAGGTGAAGAGCTGCAATTCCAAGTCAAACTGGCTGGGTCTCTGAGCAATGTGATCAAACTGTAAGTGTCCCTGTTCATTGCAGGATGCTTGGACTAGGAGAACTTTAGTTGTCTCTTCCAGATCAAACAATTCTATGATTCTCAGTTATAATAAGCATTAACCACTAAGTTTTTCAACTCGAAAGGCTATATTGAGGTGAAGAACAAAACAGGGTTAAGATGCCTCAAGAAGAGTTTTTTTTTTTTTTTTTTATGGTGACCAAATATTTTAAAGTAAATTATTTTTTTTTGCATATGAAAAACAGTTCTGTTTTTTGTGAAAAAGTGATAGATATGAAGCAATTACAAATTTGCCTGAATTGTGTATGTAGCCAAATTTCTATCCTCTATTGAATTCATGTATGGACACTAAGTATGTATCATGATCAAGTCATTAACAGTTTTCTTAAAGAACACATTAGGTCCATTGGGAACCATACGGCAGATGTTATATTCTGTGAGTGAAAGCTAGTTCTACAACAGTGATTTTAACTACACAGAGAGAAAAAGAGAGAGAGAGAGCCGAAGAGGTTATTTTTCTAAAAAGGTAGATTAGATTTTTAAAATAAAACAACAAAGTTATGTGCTGTTGCTGCGAGTCTCCACTGTGAATCAAGTTTGAAACATGAATTTTTCATGCCAGAACAAGTACTGCCCTTTGAGCTAGTCACTGGAAAAAAATCATGTCTGCTGAATATGATCACTGTATTCATGTTTTTCAGTAGGAAACATTGTAAAAGATCTCCTCAGTGTTATAAATTATTTGCTGTGATAGGCTGATGGGCTTGAGGGTAGAAGGGCTTTGCCTATCTGGATAGGCTGGATTGATGGACCAAGTCTAGTCACATGCTGTTGAACACAGCTCTGTGCTGAGTCATAGCATTTGGGTCATAGCAATCAAACGCAATGCTAAAGGCTTGGGAAGGAGTGGCTGAAACCTTACCTGGCAGAAAAAGGAGCTGGAGGTAGGTGCTGGTTGACAGCCAGCGATGTGCCCAAGTGGTCAAGAAAGCACCCTGCACTGGTGAACATGCATCAGGAATATTGTGTACAGCTGGAAGTGTTTAAGAGATGAGTGGATGTGTCATAAAGGGTTTTAGTGTTGGGACTCTGAATGTGAGGTTGATGGTTGGACTTGGTGACCTTGAATGTCTTTTTTGATCTAGATTATTCTAGATTCAGAGATGGTTGCAGCCTACTGGCAGCTCAAGCTGTCATGGATCTAAAGGGTGCAATCTGTTAGTTATCAAATTTGCACTAGCTGGTGCAAATTGGCTTCCTGTCAGCCAGAGATAGTTGTCTATGTAAAACCTTAATTCAGATGATTAATTTACATCATTAATACTTGGCTGTTCTCAGCTCTTCCTGAGAAGTTGTTTTGCAGGAAAAAACAGAAAAGGACAGGTAATTGTTTGCATGTTTCCATGCTTTTCAGCATGGTTTTTGTCAGCATTATAGAACTGTTTCACTTGCTGTAATCATAGCTAACTGCCTGTTCTCAAACGCTTTTGCTAGAGAGAAAGGTAGTGATGAGGAAACTGGTTCTTATAAAGCTTTCTACTGGTGGGTACAAGATCCTTGCTGATACCCAGATTGCTTAGAAACTTGTATGTTTTTCTCATAACCACTGCCTTATAACATCAGTCAGTTTAGTCTGTTTCCCAGCTTTTATAGTCCAGTGATAGAGGAAAAAGCAAAAGGCCTACTTCCCAGACCTTACACTTGTCTGCTTTAGAGCTGCTGCTTCCATTTACGCCATTGATTGCCACACAGATTGCTAATACAAGGAAACAGCTCTGTAAGAGACTATTCTGTTAACTTCTGTGTCTCAAAGCTTGCTGGGGACACAGATGGACTTGTTCAAGTCCAGACAAGTCCCGAGCAAGGACCGTGAAAACCTTTGTCTGGGGGAACGCAGATGGACAAGGCCAGGGGCAACGAGAGCGAGATGAACTGCAGCTAAATAGCTGTGAAGTGCTCCTTTGTGTGGACTTACCTCAGGATGATGGCCATCTCAGGGGGTACTCAGTGACTCTTGCTCAAGGCCCATCCTTGTCAGGTAGGCAGGAGAATAAGGAGGATAAAAGAGGAACTGAAAACCATGAGGATAGGTTTCTGACAACAGATTCCTCATGAAGAAGAACGGAGGTTTCTGGCAACAGATTCCTCATGAAGAAGAGAGAGAGGAATTCCTGAAGATAGAAGGATTCCTGAAGATTGAGGGGATTCCTGCATACTGTTGAACTCTCCTGAGCCTGCTGCCTGACCGCTGTTCCTGCTTCAAGAATTGGCTCCTCGACTTCCTCGTCTACCTGCCTGCTGCCCAGTGCCGGCCACGCTGCTGCTCCCCATCTTCTGCTGCGTTCTGCCCGGGACCTTCAAACGCCGTGCAACAGGACCGCTGCTGAATCCTGCTGGTGACTCTCCCCGCTTTACGCAACTCCTGCTTCTTTTCCATCTTTTCTATCGCACTTCTTCCCTTCCCCGTCTCCCTGATTAGGTTTGGTAATAAATTGGATGGAACAACATATGAACCGTTGTTTCTTAATCTCACACCGGGTATACAGATATTAAAGAACCTCATCTCCCTCCTATAAATTGGAGCGAGACAAGCTCCCAGCAGCCAGGACCTACTAAAGATCCATATGCTTGCTTAAAATTCTTCCTGTTACCACCAAGCTCTCTCATTCCAAGCATAATAAGGTAATAGGTCTAAGTTATCAGACTTTCCACTATTGCTGTGGAAGTTTGAATATTGTCTTTCACTAAAAATGATTGCACATATTTTTAAGGTATTTCATGAAATAGTCTTATATCAGATTATAACTAAATTCACTTAGGCAAGATTTGTTGGTATTTTGCTAAAAACTCCTATCTGAGAAGAAAATTGAATATATCTGTATGAGGAGACTAATTGGAACAAGCCAGGCATCATGCCTACCTTGCTCTGCTGGAAGGATGTAGAGATGAATTAGAGCATATTTCTAGAACACATAACTTTGTTGCCTGTGGTCTTTTCAAAACCCTGCTGCCAGAATAAAGCACCATCCGTGGGAAACTGTCATGACAGCAGTCATTAGAAGGCAGGACTGTGTCTCAATGTTTTTAATTTTCCAAAATTCTCTTTTCCTCATCAGTATTCCTAGAGTTTGCTTACCATCAATGCTTTCTCAATTTTGACTTATTCCTAATTTTGCTGATCACCTTTGAGAAGTAGCAAGATGTTAAAGATTGGAGCATCCTGAACTGGATACTGAACAAACACAGTAGAGACAGTCTTTACCATGAAGTCTCAAAGCCACTGTTAATAAAGACTGCTTAGCATACAAGAATGTTAAATGAGAGTTAGGTGTCAGCACTAATGATAATGCTTAATTACCTGTGTTACGCTATCTGATCCAATTCATTTGTGTAGGCATAGTAATTTCCTTTTAAGCTAGCTCAGCTGAGCCAATAAGGCCTACTTTTGCCCATCCAGAATTTTCTGCTGTACAGAACAGACTTTTTTTCTTATTTTTGGCCCTCTTTTCAGGAGCATATCACATTGTCAGATTGCACTGGTTATGCAACACAAGGCCAACACTGCAGCCTGCAAATCTGGCCATCATTGCCTTAATTTGTTGAGACTGAATGTAAATACGAAACTTGCTTGGGTCAGCAAGCACCAAGAAAGAGCCTGTACAAAAAGTACAAAAGCAAGATATTTCAGCACTATGAACACACCACTCTCCAGAATGAAAGTAGCCTTACATCAATTTTTTGAATCAGAATAACTTTATTCTTCTCTTTCTTTTTAAGAGTATAGAACCATTATTTTATTAAAAAAGCTAAGGAATGCAGCATTCTGTTACACAAGTACTCCTACTTTTACATAGCTCACAATGTAAAAATAATTAGCTCTTCCAAATGTCTTTCATTTTTCTTCAATTAAGGGTTTAAGTTTAAAGTAAGCAGTCTTGATAAATTAATGATATGTTTAGCAATCTCAGTTGTTCAATTCTTATTATTACTGTAATTTCTTTGAAGAAGTACAAAATGTTACAAAAGTATCACCAGCATAAGTGATGTTGCCAAGGTGATATTTCTTTCATACCCTGAAGGTCAGTTAATAGAATCAGTACATTACAAACAAACCAAACCCCGCTATTTGTCAGTGAGGAACAAGTGCAAATGTACACTGCCTTGAATTCAGAGACTCTAAAAGTCATAGATACATGTAAATATAAATATGGATAAGGAAGATGTCCAAATAAAATACTGTGCAATGATTCAGCTTTTATTCAAGCCAGTTATTCTAGCTTGCTAATTCTGCACTTGTAAAGAGTATAAATACATTACTGCTAAGGAAGAAAGTATTGTAATCATACTACCCATTGGGTTACTGCTGAATTAGCTTGGCTGGGAGAAAAGGGAGGAAGGGGCATAATGATTTTTTTTTGTTGTTTTTAACATGACTGTTTATTCTAGAACCAGGTGTGTTGTGAATTTGAAGCATCATAATCGTCTTGGAATAACTCCCCATATGGACATTCCTGTTTCAGCGTGAGAGTTTTTATTAAGGGTTAGCTTATTTCACTTACAAAGTTATCCTACCCAGAATAAGTGTTTCCCAGAAGCAGAGCTTTTTCAGAAAAGGTATTTCAGTAAGTTCTACCACATAGACAGAAACTTATTTATATGCCTATATAAAAACTTAATTATGTTTAATAGATTTTGATACAGAAAGAAAAAATGCTTTAACTCCAACTTCCACGTACTTATACAGTATTAATATAGCTTGGAGCATGTATACCTGGTGTCAGAGTACTGCACATGCCTCACCAGGCAATTCCTGTAGGCAAGCTTTAAGCCTTAAAACCACAACTAATCTTCAAAGGTGAAATACAAAGCAAAGAAAAATTGTTTTTACACTTCATTACTTCTTTATGTTCTGAAATGACTATATCACTGCTAGATAAGAAAGACGATTTTATTCTTTAGCATTTTTGAAGTACCAGTGCCACGCATTCCTTTTGTTGATGCAGTGCTATGGCAAGATCTTTGGAGATTTGTAAGATGCAGCAGTCTCCATTTTCATTTTATTTGTCCAATATTTTATATACATTATTAGAAAAAGAGGAGGAAAAACTACATTTCAGATTAGACCACATGGCAGCATTAACATTAGGATTACCCATGATCCTGCTGAGACCTCAGGGAGAAAAATGTGCCTCCCTTCCTACTGAAGTGCTCTGATTTATGTCCACTGCAGTGTCTGTGAGAAGATGCACTGGGAATAGGAAAAGGTCAGATTACAGCCTTTCCAAGATCTTGCCAGAATCTGTGAGCAGGCAGAGGAAATTATTATCTTGGAATTCCAGTGAAAGAAAAAAGATAGAAAAATGACATTATTTTTATAAAACAAAGGAAATGTTGACTGTCCTTTCAATATAAAAATTATTGTCACAACAGCCACTTGTCGCACCCAATAGCCATTTTTAATCCATAAGCAAGATCTTAACTGAAAACAGAAATATTTTTGGGAAATCTGAATATCCAACAGGGCTTACTTTGAAAATAAAACTTTACTATATTTATCAGAAGTAAATATTGAATTCTGTATTATTTACTCAGTTTGCTGTTAAGATAGTTCATTACTTTCATGAACTCTCTGCCTGAGAATAATTTTTTAATGAAAAAAAATAATCTGAAAGCTTTAAATGCTGTCAGTAGGTTTCACTATGAGCTACCTTTGAAGCCACAGCCAACTGGGCACTCAGGAGTTTGTGAAGGCAATCAATCTGGTGCATTTTTGCTTAGGAATAATGACAGGTGTATCTACACAGGGCATCTCATCAAAGGCTGCAGAACTGTGGCCTATGCTCATCCTTGCTCAGAATTCATGTGCTTTGCTGCCAGCAATAAGCAAAACACAAGCACCAGGAGAGAGAAGAGGTCCTTGAACTCTGCCGCAGCCCTGGCAGGCTGACTTGATTGCATATGGTAGATGCCAACATACCACTAGCATTTGCTTTCAACATATCCAAAGTTGCATTATATTTAGATGCCACTGTGAGTTTTATAACTTTAAAGCACTTTTTGATTTGTTGTTCAGGTTTGTGCCTCTGCAGTACCAAGATACACTCTCCTTGTTTTGTGACATTGACATTTTCTTATATTGTTGCTTGCCTTATGCATGTGTTAACAACTGCCACTTGAATGGGGTGACTAGACAATAACAGAGGAACATACTTCAGTTTAAAACTCCTACTCAATATATATATTCCTGAGATTTCTTCTCCTGTCAGTTAAAACTAAGCCATTAAGTTAATCGTATTGAATTTTGAAAAAGGTGCTACCCGAAACCTGTCAAGTTAATTATTCTTCTTTATCCTCTGAGGTAGGAGTGCTCTGTGTCAGGTAAACATTTTTTAAGTGTTCCACCATAACTTTCTCCTCATCTTCAAGATCTGCTCCTTCTTTCATTTCCCACCTGAAAGAAAAAGACTTTATATTAATGTTTTAAACCAGTCTTTAGTACAGGAAACCCATAAACTTGTTACCATCAATTCATTCCCCATCTTTCTCACCCCACCAACAAAACTTGAAGTGCATCAGTCAGCGTTGCTGAGTCATACAAAACTGTTCATTGCTATTATGGCTCTTTGCTTCATTCACTGGTTTATTATATAAAATCTGTTTATATAGTTTCCCTACCCAGGAACTTGTGCAGGCATCCACCAAGGTACATGGATGTTTTCCTCTTTTCCTTTTGCCATTGCACTGAGGACCCTCTTTGAACCAGAGCAAAAGTAATCAACCTATAATTTGAATTTATGACTTCTCAGAGTCATTCTGAAAGACCTCTTTCAACAGCAGTCAACTAACAGTCAGATAGACTCATTTTAATTAATGTGATTTGTTGTGTATTTTTAGGTAGAGGAGTTGTTTGCTTAGAAGAAAGACAACTGAAAACACTAAATGGAATATATTCAAAACAGTTATTGTTGGAGGAATAAAGCACAGAAATCTAGCAGTCTTTGCTAATGGAAGCTTAACAATAAATCAGCAGATTCCTTTTAAAGTGACTTCATACTTGTCAGCACATTTCATTGAATCTTAAACGATAGTGTTGGTAAAAAAATCTTCAGTGTCATCCAGTTTGGACATCCTTTAATGTTCACTTTATCATAAGTTATTACTAATACATTGCATTATCATTTTATTAAAAAGTAGTCTATTTTTAAAGTATTTAAGTGGGTCCGATGAGGATAAGAATGTCTTCTATGCATTTGTTTAACGGTATCCATGAATTAAAGATCTGTGAAATTAGTTTGACAAACACCTGGTTTCTCGTGGAATTTTGAAACTGTTCCACTTTTACACATTTTAAAGTCTGGGGGGAATAATGGATTTTAAAGCACTACTGCGAAGTAGGCAGTAGGACCACAGTGTATCTTTGCTGTTGTAAGTGGGATAGAAAATCAGGTGTCTGTGTTCAAATGGAGAAACACTCAATATTTACTCTTTGAAAATTTGTCCTAAATGGAATCTGTTTTTATTGACATGACTAAAATGTGTGACAGTTGTTTTGGCGATAGCAATTGGTACCAGTCCACTAGCCAGTTCAAGGGATGTGAACATGAATGAAATTACCATCATGCATTACTTCCAAAATACGAGCCTTATCAATCAAACAGCCAACTCCTCTGTTCTTTCAAATTATTAGTCACATAGCTCTTAGAAAAATATTCCAAATTCAGAGCTGGCCTATATATATACATATTTGTCTGGCTGCATCTTGGATGAAATTAAATTGAATTCCAAAAGGGTACTGAAACTATGTGAACCACTCCATTGTATCACCATCTGCATTTTTCATACAGCTCATATAACAACCACAGTGACTCTGAGCATACAGATACGTACTTAACCAAACTTCCAGTATGTTCTTCATATTCAAAAGTAAGCAAGTACTTAGAATAAAATACCATCTCTTTTCTAAGCTTTAGGGTAGAAGTTTTCATGTCAATACTTGTAGTGCACTCACAGAATTAAACATTGGAAATATTCTTGCAAATATGTCAAAACACCAAATAATGCAGGTGAAATGTATGCACCTGAAGAGGACTACCTAAAAACTTTTCTCTATATGCTGTTGCTCTCTATACTGCATACAGTTAATCTTGGGGAAGAAAAAAAAAACAGTAGAATATTTTTCAGACATGCAGCAAAACACTTCAGCACAAATAAATACTGTGAATCACTGAAGTTTTCAGCTGATCTAGACCTCAGATCACGAGGTCAAAGAGGATAACTAGCACTGGGAGAGCTTCTGCTTCGCCTCATAAATGAAGCAAGAGAGGAAGAAGCCTTGACTCGTGCATCTTTACACTAACAAAGTACGAGGGGAAAAAAATCCAGTGCTCTAGGATGGTTCAAGTGCTGCAGCTCAGGTTTCCTTTGCAAGGTATAGGCATGCTATCCTTACATCAATACATCCATTTATATAAAATGTTGCATTATATGTTTGTTTCTCCACTGTACTGAGTTATAAAAATATTTTTCAATCCGTCTTTTAAACACCATGCAGAATATTTTAGCAGGGCTGTATTTAATACATTGTGATACATTAGTGGCATTGATATTCTATTGTGATATTGCAAATATTTTGTAAACTATACTTATAAACCCATGGAGGTACTTTTAGAAAAACATAGTAATGACTACATTATATATTAAGTTGCTTGTTACAGACCAAAGGATTGTTGCAGTTGACAGCAAAGCAGTAAGTGTGCATTCTAATTAACATACATGTTCATATTCCGATATAGATTACCAGAAGTGATACTAATTGCACATGCTGCAGTTAGGTTCTTTTATAGAAATTGCCTTGGGAAGTTTCCTTCTCACTGAGAAGTTTACTCACTGTTATTATTTAGAGCAACTGTGTAAAGGGAAAAACCTGTAAAACAAACAAACAAACAAAAAAACCCCAAAAAACAAAAAACAAAAACAAAAGAAGCAAGCCAACCCCAAAGTGAAATAAAAAAAAAAAAAAACAAACACAACAGGAGTAAATATTAGTAGAATTAAAATGAAAAGTAAGAATGCTATAGAATTCAGATGTATTTTAAACTAGAAAAATCTCCTGACTGGTTTTATTTGAGTGACCTTTTTAAAGCTTATAGAAGACAAAAAGTATGAAAAGCGAACAGTTTACAGAAAGGATCACCTTAATATAAATATTTTATAGTGGCACTTTATGTATTCATAACAGTGCTTAGGTAGTATTTTGACATCTATTGCTTTTTGTAATAATTACAAGTTTTGACAAGGACTTGCTAAACCTTACATCATGCATAACTTCATGGAAGAAAAAAAAAAAAAGGAAATGCAGCCACTGGAAATAAAATGGATGTTTGCCATACTGACACCATTGCTATTCCTACGGGAAAGCAGGTCCTACTGTAGAATTTGGTAAGTGATGAAACATTAACTGTACAGCTGTACATCAGAGAGCTGAAAATATGCACTTCCTAATGAATAATAATAGCAATGTTTAATAATTGCTCTGTAGAAAAAAATAGCAGTACATTTGATGACAGTGACATAATTCATATCCAATCTAAATCAGACACAGACAATACCATTCAGGTATGCTATCACGGGTAAATACTGAGATATAAAACCCTGAGCTCTTAAGTTTATATATTTTTATTTTGGTGAATTATCACTGGAGAGCTTTACAGACCATTTTCAAGAGGAATTCTGATAAAAACTGTAAGCACAAAGAAAAAAAAAAAGGTCTTTTTTGCCGAGCATTGAGAACAAAATCAGTCAATGGTGGGAGAAGAACAAAGAAGAGGTGCTTAAGCTTATCTCACATTCATTTTTGTGTTTATGTGTTTTAATGTTCTTTCATGTAATGTACATGAAAATATTTTCCACATATTCATTTTCTTCAGTAAGCTGTTTTGCTGTAATTTTCAAACTCCCATCTGAATGAATTTATTTATAAATAACACTATAATCTGAATGAGGGAAAATAAGGCCATAATTTGCGCATAAACAACTAATCAATACAATTTTGTGAAATGGAAACAAAATTCATCCCATTGTTTCATAGGTGCAGATTTCTTGCAGGGGATGTATTGCTTGTGTCCTGCCAGCTGTGGCACAGTCCTTGCAGCTGTGCAGCCCTCCCAGCTCAGCTGGCCCTGTTGTCCCATTCCACTTACAGAACATTTTTCATGTGCAGGCATTTCCCCCAACCTCTTTAACTTGAGCAGAACTGAAATGTTTACTTGTGCTTTCTCCAAAAGAGGTCCCCATGTTTCCCTGTATTATTGACTGCTTGCTGAAGGTAGGATGACCATTTTTTTGCTGGCCATTCCAAGGAAAGAGGCTAGTGACAAAGTAAGTAGGCATGAAGCAGAGACAGGAGTTTTGGTATTTCGTTTTTGCTGTTTGCAGCCCTGACACTAATTGTAACCCACCATCTCACATCCTGTTCTCAGATCTGTGTGCTTTGTGGATTTTGGTGAGATTTCCAACACCTTAATTGAAACAGCCACTATCTATTTCTGTGTGCTGGATTACACCCTCATGTCTGCACCTGAGATGAAAGAAGTGTTAAGTCTGGTGGTTTTGGATAGTTCTTGAGATTTCTGATGATGAATTCAAATTCAAATGTATTTAAATTTAAATTAAAATTTAAGCTCATATGCAAATGTTTGTTTCAATTGAAAAAAAAAAACAACAACAAAAACAAAACAAACCTATACCTTTAAGTAAGTATTTTATTGACATCAGTCAATAAAACGACTGGTGTTCCCTACACTAAGCTGCAAGAGGTAACGAAATAATGCACGTAAAGAAAATATCTTGCCATCAGCTCACAGAGCACTTTAATGAGTTATATTTTTGCTTCCTGGAGTCTGTGAAAGACAGTCATGCAGTGAGTTCCTGCAGACAGTGAAGGATCATTTTATCTGTGTCTGTCATGTTGTATTTCACTGTGAGATGAGAAAGCTCAGCAGCTGGTATCTTGTTTGCCACTTTTGAGTATTAGAAGAATATACACCTCTGTAGTTTTCATTTCCTATTTCAGTTCAAAATATACATTTTATAGCATAAGAAATCATAGCCTATAAAGTACTTTTCGTCTCTATGTCTCTATGAGGAAGCCATTTAAATCTGGTATTTGTGTATAATCTCAAGTCCCAAAAAATCTTTTCAGCTTCTGTGTTGGGCAATGTTTTGTTTTTCTAATGGTAGTTCAATCAAGTTCTGTTTGGTTAAAATTTGTTTTTGTTTTCTTTTTTAAGTCTGAAACTAATTTTTTAACTCCTTAAATTTTTACGGTACAAAGGGTGTCTACTTTGCTTCAACCATTTTTGCAGTAATTGAACCCTAATAAACATATGCTCCTCTCAAGGACATAAAAATCAGAGGTGGGAGGAGAGTTATCAGAAATACAGCTTCTGTACC